GCAGTGGACAGTGGAGCAGTGAAAAGTCAAAGCACAGCGGAGAAATTCGGTTGTCCCAGACAAATGGGGGCGTGGCGTGCAACGCAATACTGGAAACTGCAGCGAACAAAACCTGCAAAGGTTCAGAGCGTGATAGGAGGAGGTTCAAGAAGGCAGGGTGTGGATGAGGAAAAAGGAGGTAGGGGGTGGATGAGGGCAGCAGAGCACTGGACATATGTAGGGGCTTTAGGGCTGCGAAAGACTGAGCTGAGTTGGAGAGGTTAGGAAACCCCTACCTCAGCAAGGGGCTCATGGCATAGAAGTTAGGCCAGGGGCCAGGCTGGCCCGAGCTGTCGGTGAAGCACCCCGGAGGGCTGCAACCTTGTTCTGGGCTCCAAAGGGGCGAGGCCACCAGGGTAGCGGTGGGGAACGGGGAAGGGGCGTCGCTCCAGGCCGCGCCTGCCCTCTTCCAAGCCATTCCTCTGCTGCCCAGCGACCGCACCACCTTTGCCTGACCGGCTGGCTGGGCCGGCCCCTGCGCCATGGTCCGCACCCCACTGCTAGCGTCCGCGGGCTGGTCGCGCCCGGCCTGCTGACGTCACTACCAAGTTTGCTGCCCTCCGCGCCCCACGTGTGGCTGTGGCGGCAGCGGCCCAGGAGGCGGCGGGGAGTGCCAGGAGCACAGTGGCCGCGGCCGCTGACAGGTCCTGCGCAGCCCAGCTCTCCTGCGCCGCTCACAGGTGGGCCCTGAGAGCACTTTGGCGCGCTAGAAGAGGAACGGCCGTCTCGGCGCGAGCCTTTGGTCTCCTTCTAGTAGAGAGGGGTTAGGGAATCTCCCACTCGGGCCAAGCGGACCGGAGCCCAGGATAAGAGGTTGCGCCCAGGCCAGCCAGGGGACGAGAGGAAGCAGGGCTGGAGCACAGTCTCTCTCTGCTACCCGGAGCGCACCGAGCTCAGAGGCCCCGGAACCGCGCATTCCTTTACCAGCATACAGCGAGAGACGAGCGACTGTTGTGCAGAAATCAACGCGGAGAGGTCAATTGGGCCAGGCTGAGAACGCACGCCTTTTCCAGCGCCACCAAGATCCCATCCCTAAGGCGCTCGGCGCTCAGGGAACTGGGGCGACCAGCGCTGCCCCAAGGCTCTCGAGTCTTGGGAGCGTCTAAGACTATGGTTTCTTAAGCATAGCCCCGGGTCCCTTTCCGTCCCCTCATCAGGAGGCAGGGTTCCCTCGTGGGGCTTCTGGGCCTCTGTTCTCTGAGGACCCCAGCAGCCGTCTCCTGGACAGCTTGCAGGGCCGCAAGGACTATGTGGGCTCCTTCCAGCACTCAGGCCCACCTAGGGCATGTCATGTCACCTGTCAGAGTCGCGGCCTAGCATGGCCCGCTTGCAGCCCGACGTCGCCTCCGGCTAGGATGGCCCCTTTGGGCCCTGCCGGCGCCCACCCTACCTCAGCTGAGCCGCTGTCCCGCAGCATCTTCCGGAAGTTTTTGCTGATGCTCTGCTCCCTGCTCACATCCCTTTACGTCTTCTACTGCCTGGCCGAGCGCTGCCAGACACTGTCGGGCCCCGTCGTGGGGCTGTGGGAAGGCAACGAGGAGGCAGGAGCCCCAGGTCGCGGTGTCCTGGCTAGCGGCCCGAGAGAGCTGGCGGTTTTGCCAGCGGTGGCGCGGAGAAAGAGCCTCCTACAGCTGCAGCAGTGGCGGAGGCGCCTGCCGCCCGCTCTGCGCTACGACGCCCAGGAGGCGGCGGCCTGGGAAGAGGAGCCCCTTGGCCTGGCAGGGGGTCCTGGTGGCTCCGGGGCCGGGAGTAGCGTGGCCGAGGCTCCACCAGGAACCCTGGACCTGCTGCTGGACGAAGGCAGCAAGCAGCTGCCGCAGGCCATCATCATTGGCGTGAAGAAGGGAGGCACGCGGGCACTGCTAGAGTTCCTGCGCGTGCACCCCGATGTGCGTGCTGTGGGCGCCGAACCCCATTTCTTTGACCGCAGCTACGACAAGGGACTTGCCTGGTACCGGTGAGCAGGCGGGGTAGCCTAAGTGCGCGGTGGAGGGGCTCTTGGGAGGGCTGTGGTGACCCCCACTTCATCTCCCTTCCCACCTCTTGGGGATGGCAAAGGTAATAGGTGGTTGTTCTATAGTTGAAGTTTCTAATTACCTCACTATGACTGCTCCTTCCAGGAAAGTGAACGCTTGGGAGGAGGACTGTGAGGAAAGTTTTGGCCTTAAGGTTTCTATTTCTTTAGTTCTTGAGGTTCCCTTCTCCCAAAATAACGAGTCTTGTCTTTTTCTTCTGTTTCTGTGAAAGTATCCAAATTATTAGCTAAAGAAAAAAAGTCCTAAGTTAGAAACCTGTTCATCAACTTCATGTGTGCGCTGACACGTGTGTGTGTGTGTGTGTGTGTGTGTGCGCACTTATGGTTGATCGTTTTCCAAGAAAGCCCCATTTTTATTTCTTCTTTATCTTTGGGGCAAGTCCCTGTGGTGAACAGTCGTTGCCATCAGGTTATTTATTTATCTTGACCCTTTGCCAGATAGTTGTCCTAGATGGCAAGTAATATAGAGACTTAGTAAAAGTGTCAAACCAGAGAGTCTAGGTACTGGGGAAATATATGAGATGTCCAGCAAGTGCCAGCAACCAGTCACCATGTTTTAAGGAATGCTTCCTTGGTAATAACTTTTGTTTGGGGTTAGGAATGAGCTTGAAAAATGCTTTCAGTATTTATAGGGAAAACTAACTTTTGTCTTTGAACTGCCAGAAACTTTTCTGAAGATCTTCAAACAATTCTCTTTGCAAGTGAGCTAGTCAATTAAAAAAAAAAAAAAAAAAAAAAACAAGCAAACCTACAATTTCTGGGGATAGGACACTAAAAAAAAAAAAAAAAAAAAAAGGAAAGGAGAAAAAATACGGACACTGGCTAGATTTTGAAAAACCGTGAATACAGTTTGAGAAACAAGTATGAGTTTGATCTTAATCTTAAATTTGTTTTCTCAAATTCAGACCAGCTTTAATAATAGAATCAGCCAAACTCTAATAAATCACAGTGTCACCTGAATTTTGTTTTACATAAAATATTGGCTCTTTTTCTTCTCTTCTACATACAAGGAAAAATCATGTTGCCAGATTTTTCTATTTTATAAAGTTTATCTTGTTTGTTTAATACGCATTTTCCTTGTTATTTTAACAGAAACAATATTTCAAAAGTTATAACACAATTTTAATACATTTACAAAGCCTGCTTAATTAACTGTTCATCTCCAAAACAGAAATGGATGTGGTTTGACAAAGTTTATTTACGGGAAGGGTCAAGCACACACTCAAATTTCAGGAGCAGAATTTATAGTAACCCAACTCAGAGAAAACACTTTTAAAAAGTAACTTTCCATTTGTTGGAAAGAAAAACAAACAACCTCCCCTTAATATAGAATATATATCATTGAAAATCATCAGCCACTTAAAAAATCCTCTTGTGTTTCTGTCATTTATGTTGTATCCTCTGGGAAGTTCTTATAAAAATGACCTGTTGAATTTGGAAACAACAGGTCCTTCTTTTTAGCACAAAGGCAGCTCTGTTTTTTCCATCAAGGATACAAGAAAGAAGTGATTAAAGACCTTTAAAACCCTTATCTATAGCAGTTTGCATTGAATTTGGTCTCGTAGTACAGTGCTGTAAGTGAACACATTTCAGGCTGACTGCTGAAACATCTAAGGCAACAGTTGACTTTAAAATGCTATTAAATATGGTGAGATATTTAGGACTAAAACCCTTATTTTCATTTTGCCATATAAACTTTATTTCTATAAAGGAGGATTGTTTCTTTTCGTTTCAGAGATGTTTGATTTTGAGAGCACAATATATCTACAGACCTGGATCTTATTTTCCATGAGCCTTTCTGAGCTCATGGAAGAGAAGGAAGGGTTCAAGGTAACTAGAAACACAAGTATGAGAAAAAAAAAAAAAAAAGGAGAGAGAGAGAAAAAAGGAGTCATAAACTTTTAGGTCACTATTTCCTTTGGAAACTGGATGCATGCTGTAAAGTAAATCTGGTCTTGAATTGTTTACTCCAACAGAAGAGTATTATAAAGCAATTTATGGTGGTTACGAAAATAACTGCACAGTAGACTTCATGGTTTGATGAATTTAATTTTCTAAGTGTTAGAGCAATGTCCTTGTTTTACTATTTGCAACTTTTTAAAAAATTGTTATTGGAGGCATAAATTTAACTGAATTATATAGACCCCCCCCCTTTTTTTAAATCTAACCTATGGAGCTTGTATTATGTGATTATTTAATGACATTTTTCCCCAGAGTTCTCTTTTATCATGGCTCTGAATTGGAGTTTGGGGTCTGGTAAGAAAGTCTGAAGTCTTAACTGGAGGAAAAAAATATCTGCCTCACAGAATGTCACTTAATTATTAGGTGCATTTTAGCTGCTTGTAGTTAGCCAATGTTTTAAAACAGGGATTCCTTTAGACCTTCCTGAATAAGTCCAAAATTTGTAATACAGGATTTCTGCCACACACACACACACAAACAGAAAGAAAATCCTGCTACTTGCACACTGAAGCAAATTATGGAAGAGAAAAACCCATATATTATTTTTAGATGCTCACTGACATGAGACAATCCTAAAATGTCTAGACTTGTTTTTTTTTTTTTTTCCCAGGGAAATCTCTCATTTTGCCGTAATAGTTCATTGTGGCAGTGCCCCCTACTGTCATGACAGAGGAGCAGTCCGCAACTATTAGGAAGATTGAAGAAAATCTCTTGAAGAATGAGTTTAGGAGGGAGAGATGCTTTTTGCTAGGATGTTTCAGTAAATTTCTCTAACTAGGAAAAAAAAAATACTTTGTAAATTGTATCTCAAGAATAGAGTAATAAATAGTTCTGTCATTTGATAAATTTGTAGTAAAAGCAAAGAAAATGAATTTGTTACTTAAAATCACTGACAAAGAAAATTACTCTTATTGATTTAAAATATCCTAATGAACTTCTTAAAAATAAATGAAACAATGGCAAATTTTTATTTTCCAGGAACTTTGATCATATTAACTTATGACAATTCGAAGGAATTTTCAAGATACAAAACACCACCCTGGCAGAGTTTTAAAAATATTCCACATTACCCAATTTAGCAGATACGACAGCAGTACAACACATGTCTGTGACTTTCATGATATGGAAAGGCAATCCTTTGTAATGAATAATCTCCATTTTCATTTTATGTGTGCTAGATTTATAAAGGAAACTAGACAATTGTTTTCATTCATTTCAAAACTTTGAGATCAGCAATGCCTGTGCTGTAGTTGAAGGATAGGTAACTTAAAATTCATAAGAAGCTCCCTCACTTGTGTATATCTGTACTAGATGTATGTGTATATGTTTGTATTAACACAAAAGACACTTATTTATAAAGTATTTATATATATATATATTCTATGTATGTATATGTATATATATATGTATATGTATGTGTGTATGTATATATATATATAGGAGCTCTGGTAGCATAGTGGCTAAGACATTTGCCTGCTAACCAGACGGCTGGCGGTTCAAACCCACCAGCCACTCCTCGGAAGGAAGGTTG